CTTGACTTATATGGATCTAACTTGATTTTTTATTCGAGTTTAATTTATTGAAAGAGATATAAGGTAGATGTTTGTGCGATTTTTTCACCATTGTATTCACCGTTCTATTTTCTATAGGCTAATTGAAGAAAAACACCTAGCCATGAGGGTGAACCAGCGGAGCCACCACGCTGAAAAATTCCATTGCCAGTAGATTTCTAATTTTTATTTTTTTGGGTCGACGGAGGCCCTCTAACATGTGTTCTCACAGGGATGGGTATAAAACTGGTTGAAACTGGCCAAAAACGGCCATGCCGAGGCAAACTACTGCCACAGACGGTGGTTCCGTCGCTGGAGCACGGCGGTGCCACCGTGCCAGAATTGTAAAATTGGCTAAAAAAGGTTTTTAACACCAATTTTGAATTTTGGGGGGTATTTTTAGGTATGTGAAGCATGTTTTAATCTCCACAGGAAATTCAGAAAACCTAGGGACCACTAGTAGGTGCAGTAGAAAGTTCGGTGTTTCGGCCACCGATTTAAGTAAGAATCCTTCACCTTATTCTCTGTTATGGAATTGAAGCTTAATAATCGGTAATATGGTATTTTGTGTAATTTAAAAATTTTTGAGAATGATTACAGGTTACTAATGAAACCGGAACCGGTTACTCATTTATTTGTTGTTCTGTGTAACTGATTATTGAATTTACAGTTAAATACATGATGATTTACTGAAATAGTTGAATAATTCAGTTGTGCTTCTTGAATATATATATTGATTGTCTTGCGTGATTTACAGTTGATTTGTAAAATTGATAATTAATATGCAAACGAAAAATTGATTGGTCATATGATTTAATAAATGATAGCCTTACTGGATATCTTGCGAGATGGTGGACAGACCAGGTACATAGAGAACCTTGCCGTAAATGTTGCCTCATACCGGATGGGGTATCGATGAATAATATTTTTGGCACTGATACCGGACAGGATATGGAGATGACCCGATTCACCTTTAGACCGGACGAGATATTGAAGGATGATATTTTTGGCGCTCATACCGAATGGGGTATGGGGATGGCCGATTAGTTGAAAATATTGAATATTAGTTCACACGTAGTAGGACATCCTTATAGGCCCCAAGAGATACTAGTAGGTAAATAAAAAAGGGAAAGTAGTTCTTATTGCTCACTCAAAAATAAGATTAGAATGTTATTTGAGTTATTGTTTTTATAGGTTGATTTTAAAAATCTCGCAACGGTAAATATATGAAATAAATGATTTTCTTTATAATAAATGAATTTACTTAAATCAAGAGCTCTATTGATTGTTTTTATGATTTTTACCAATCTTCAGTTTCTGTATCGATGAGTAGTGTGATATTTTTACTGGGTTAGTGTAGCTCACCCTTTCATTAATTATTTCAGATCAAGAGGATTAAGACTTAGATCCCGATCACAGAGATTGTGATATTCACACCAGACTCCCTTCAGAACTAGTGAGATCGTACTATATGCTCAGTTATTTGCCTTTATATTATTATTTTGTTGTC